ACAACACATATCACAAATGTGACATGTATACAAACCACGATGACGAGTCGTAGTTCTGCTATCTGAGCGTGAGGCAGAAGTCTTTGGATTCTTCAGAATCTGAAGCCTCATCGATGACCGTTCGCTTCGTTTCTTCGAAATTTAGTGAAGGATAGTTGAACATTCCGAGTGGCTTTTTTTATTGAATCTAAATATAATTTATTTCTAATGTATTGTCGTTTTTTGATTTTTGTTATATAGTTTTATCTCTTTAGAAGTTCTTTATTTCGATGATCACATTTATTTATAGCTTCCATTAATTGTAAATTATAAGCATTGACATGATTTTATTTTCTAGTGATGTTCATGATATCAAAGACTTAATCATCATATATGATTACAAATTAGATCTTAAAAACTACAGATGGTTAAAATTAAATCTGACATAACTTCAATACAAAATGAAGATTGGTTTATGAAAATGGTTAAATTTATTTTGTGACATCTAATATTTACATTTAAATGGACTATTTCTCAATCTACAAAATTTTCATTAATTTGATATAGTTTTTATTAGTTGATTAAAGAGGTAAAAATTTCAAGTGAAAATATGTGAATTTTCATCAATAGGTGTCACTTTTTGCACTCGTTTGTACATTTAGTTTTATACCTGCTCTTTTACCGGTCAATTTTTTCAAATTTTAAATTAAGATCATACTTCACAGGATCATTTCTGTAGTGTATCTTCACAACACATATCACAAATGTGACATGTATACAAACCACGATGACGAGTCGTAGTTCTGTTATCTGAGCGTGAGGCAGAAGTCTTTGGATTCTTCAGGATCCGAAGCTTCATCGATGACCGTTCGCTTCGTTTCTTCGAAATTTAGTGAAGGATAGTAGAACATTCCGAGTGGTTTTTTTATGAAATTAAACAAAAATCATTAATATTTAGTTATATTTCTGCAGTGAATTTATGTAACTTTTTACATAGTTGAAAAAAATATTTTTATGTATTTGAGAAGAAATTTATGAACAAATATATTCATCAATAGTCCTTTTTTAAATATGTTTATAGAAGTTATTTCATTCTAAAGTCATCATTTAGTCATACTCAACATTTATCAATAAATCTGAAGTAAAAAGTAGAACTATGATATTTATTTACAGTATAATATGAAACATATGCTTACCACATTACTAAATAATTCTTAAAATATTATTAAATTCTAAACTTCTTTTGCTATAAGATTTTGGTACTTGCAGTTCAATATAGTTTAGAATGAAGAGATTATACTAATTTATATTAAATTTATGCTATAATTCATGTGCAAGAACTTCCTTTTTTAAGGTCAAGTAAAATTACTAATTACTAATACTAGTCGATTATATTATTGTAATTATATACAGTTAAATTAAACTTACATAATTCATTTTTTGAGTAAACTTTAAAATAGAATTTTGGCATAAGAAAATATGAGAATTTCCATCAATAGGTGTCGTTTAGCTTGGTTCGCTTGAATACTTAGGTTTATACCTGAGCCTTTACCCTTCATTTTTTTTAATTTATAAATTAAGATCATACTTCACAGGATCATTTCTGTAGTATATCTTCACAACACATATCACAAATGTGACATGTATTCAAACCGCGATGACGAGTCGTAGTTCTGCTATCTGAGCGTGAGGCAGAAGTCTTTGGATTCTTCTGGATCCGAAGCTTCATCGATGACCGTTCGCTTCATTTCTTCGAAATTTAGTGAAGGATAGTGGAACATTCCGAGTGGCTTTTTTATTAAATATAAAGTAAATCTTTAATTATATTAATCAAATTGTTACAAATATTTCTAATTTTTGATATGAAAATAAGTGTATGGATATATTTATTTTACTTGAATATCTAAATTTCATTCATATTTTTTTATATAGTTATTTCAACTAAAGCTTTATTTTTATATATTCACAAATATATGTTTTGTAAAAAAGTGGTCAAATGAAACAACATGTATTACATGAATTCGCATACAAAGTATTATATCTAATAGTAACATCAAATCTAATAATTAACAATTCATTGGATATTTAACCTTTCATTTGATTGTTACTACTAGTTTTGACAATTTTTGTCATATACTAGACGATTTCACATATAAAGTTTAACATCTAGAAGAAAATGTTTTATAAAAATGTTGTGAAACATACAAATATTAATTAACAAACAATTCATGTAAGATTGAACATTTTATTTGATCGTTAATAATTCTGAGCATGTTTTGCCATGTATTGATATGAATTTGGTTGTAGAGTACAACATTTATAAGAAAAATCAAAATATTTTGCAAAAAAGTCTTTTTTTCAGAAATAATTGATGCTTCCTGGTAAACCATAAGTTTAAAAAAAGATAATTTGTACAAAGATACCTTGGTTAACTTTACTTCTAATAACAAAGCTTCAATACACCGAAGTTCGGAATCTCAATCTTCATTTACCAAAAAATAATCCAATTGAAGACCGATGATCAAAAAAATATCAGACTGAATATGGGCAAATGTAGTGCTATAAATAGAAAATAACAAATCCAAGAAAGTAAAAATGAAGTTATCCAGATGGATCTGGTTTTTAAAATATCGATAAAAAAGATGTTAGATATTTACTGAATGCAGTGAAATATTTGTGAAATATTGTTAATAACGAAGATAAATAAAGCGAAGACAAAATTAAAGTTTCTGAATAAGAACAAACAAACATAACTTAAAAAACTGTTATTTATCTCTTTGAGGGGCGGTGGTATTTTTGAACATGCCTAGTAGGACATTATTATCATATTCCAGAAAATGTACAGGAAATAGGAATTACCATTTAATATGGTTGGTAAGTAAAGGGATGAATCTTGATGGTCCATGCTATACGATTTTCATTTAGTTGACAAAGTTGTCTGATTTTGTTGTCTAAAAAATTGTGGGATCTAGAAATGTATGGTCCCTCAAAGAGTTATGTACTTTTTTAAGTCATGTTTTCATTGACAAAGTTTGTAATTTTTTAAATGAAGTTTTGCTTAACGAAGTAATGTCGTGGAACGCATGATCTTATTCGTTAAACGAGGTATGACTGTATTTGCACTAGAGATTTGCATATATGAACCATTTGTAACAAATTGAGAAATTTTACAAAAATATATTTCTGAAATTATTAGTAAACCTAATAATTTCTAGATAAATAGGTAGATAAAATATTGTATTTTACCTATTACTAGTTTTGAGCATTTTTCATCTATTAAATATAAGAAATTATTGAAAAATAAGAAACAGAATAGACTAGTGTGTTAACTAACACTAGTTGATGACACATTCGTTATTAACAATGTTTACTTGCTTATTACTAGTTCTGATATTTTTTGTTCAAATATTACACAAATTCACATTGACAAATATAGAAATTCAGGCAAACAATAACTTAATAATAAAGAAACTGAGGAAAGAAGTTGAACATTTTATTTGCTCTAAAAGCAATGAGCAGTGCTATAGTATTACGTCTTCAATTGAATTACTTATCTAGTTCAATAGATTGACCCACTTTACTTGTTTACCTCCCAATTTTCGCAAACAATAAGACGTTATTATATAATAATAGTAACGTAATATGGGAAGAGTTGTAATTCCTATAAAAAAATCTTGTATCTAAAAAATAATATTCTAAATCTAAAAATTAAAATCATAAACGATTTCAAAACAATTAAAAACTACATAATAAAGTACACGAAATGTTTAAATAGAAAATAAGAAGCTGATGCTTACTAATAATTGTAGCAAATTTACTTATTCTCATTCATTTATTCAGTATTAAGTTGACTTGTAAACTTTTGCTTAATGTAATACTTTCTTCTTTTTTTTTTCTTTTGTTCTGAAGAAGGAGCATACATTAAGCTCAGCATAATGACGGTGTACATTGGAGGAAATTCAATTTGGTTTCGTTACTGACGTGGCATAATGAAGTCTTTCCTTTCGTTTTCCTTTTCCGAGAAGGAAACACCTTTTTCCACAAAATCAATGCGCGCTGCTTATGAATATGCCACCCTTCATCCGTTCCACATCCACATCTATATCTAATTTTCAGTGCGTATTTTATATTTATTGAATTATTATTATATAATAAAAATATATCAAAGTTTTACCACAAATTTATAATAGCGTTTTCAAACAATTATTTTGCAATTCATAACAAAATAATTTGGAAATTATCAATCTTTCGTAATTGTTATAAATATACAACAATTGTTATAATTTCAAACAAAAAAATCTATTTTTTTTATTAAAAAGCAATTGCCAAAACTGTTTTTATATTAAAGTTATATTTAAAATCATTGTTTAAATATGACTTTAGCATAGAGACAATCACAAATAAGAGTAACATTGACGAAAACATTGAAACGGAAGACAATTAGAACAAAAAGTAATACATTGTGACAAACATTTATATAACGTTTTTGTACAAATATTTTAATTCAATTTACTTTTATTGTTTATCGTTTTGTTGTATAGATGTATTGTACTCTCAATCCTCTTATAACGCGGTTAATTTGTAGAGTTATATGGAAATCGTGTTATAAGAATATCGCATTAAAGTTTGGAGGATTTCTAATCACACTTTATATAGGAACCGCGTTATGAGAGGACCTCGTTACAGGAGGATTTATTGTATAATAATTAAATAATGTTAATTTAAATATAGTTTACAATTAATTATACAATAATACATCGGATAGTACGGTTCTGCCAATATACCGGACTATTTGAATCCGCACTAATCGAGACCCTGAGAGTTGCATAAAAATACACATTACAAAAAATTATAGAGATTTTTTTTGCTCAATTAAAATTTAGTTTGTTTTGAAATTTTCAAACCGTACTATACAGTGAATCCGTACTGATCTAAGCCGCACTATGCGAGTTTTTGCTGTATTGAGTTTTGTGTAACTTGTCATTGATTTAGTAATATAAATTTAATTGGTTTTATTTCAGATTCCGTCCAATCCACGCAAAATTTATCATGTTACCAATGCATACGTACAACGAATGTGGAATGCTTACCAGAAGATCTCCGTCCTTGTCCATCGAACTCGGATAGATGTGTCACTCATATCATGAAACAGAGTAAGTACTACATTAATATTTTAAGAAAATTTACATTATTTACAACAATAATTGCATAAAAAAAAGACATAATAATACTCTTAAAAATAAGTAATTTCAAATAGATTTTCAATTCTTTAATTAATTTAACCTAAATAATTTTGTATACACTAAAAATGTTTTGTGTCAATATTTAACCCGTTCAGTGGTTATGTCGTATATATTCGTCAAGATCTCTTGTATTGCGTAGAGCTTATGACGAATATATTCGCTTCATGAACAATAAAATACGATAGCAACAAAAATATGTGACCCTTAAAGAATTTTATTTATTTCTGGATAAAAATTTTCAAAATCATTTTTAATTGTATTTTTAATTCAATAACTATAATGGACTATAGAGATTATTATTTCTTTTTTATATACACTTAAAATAACCTTTTACATAGACTCTAAAAATATTGACTAATATATCATAAATAAGTAAAAACAAATGGACGTATAGTGAAGACAATAAAAAAGAAGAGACCATAACCAACTTTACCATACAAAATTTTATTATTTCTTTCTTTATTTCCACTTTAATGTCCTTTGATGCATTTTTGTCTCGAACATAAAAAGCAAAATTACCATTCAGTTCAGTGAATACTGATACTAAAAAAAGTGTTTTTATTGTTTCGAATCCGTTCGCATCAAACAAAGTTTCGTTTGTAATTCTCATGAAATTCTATACTTTATTGAATGCACGAGAATATTACTCCAATTTACGGGATGTAAAATGTCGCTCGAAAACTTTTCTCCTGCATGCAATGAATCAATTCGAACTTTCCGCAATTTAATAAATCATTTACTTGTTTATTTGCGTTCACATAGACCCGATGTATTATGGATTTACACAAACCTCATTCATTAAACGTCCGAGTAAAAAGTTGGTAGTCCTGCATCCAATTTCAGTGATGAATTACATTGCTACACATGAATTAATCATGTTAATATAGTTACATTTGTCGCATTTACAATTAGTTTCCAGCAATTTTATTATGCGACTATAATTTATGTTATGTAATATTTAATTGTCTATTTATTTCGTCTATTCTCACTTTTTACATTATTTATTCTAAAGAAAAGTATTTCTGTCGTTTATGTTTTTTTTGCATTTTCTACATGTATTCCTGCATTTTTTTGTGTCTTTTTTTTAATTATTTAAAGAACATGAACATTGGTTTTATTTTGGATGTTTCATTTGGAAAGAGCCGCGATTCTCAACCTTTTTACCGCAGTTGTAATACGACCAATTGCTACAAATATTTCAACAGTTTTGACACACGGTGACAGCTGTCATTTTGCGACAATTTAAACATATTACCCCTAGGTTGAGAAACGCTGAGTTTGAGCTGTGCTTTCATACAGGAATGTTGATTACAACTGTCAATTTTCATTTTTTTTAATGAATTATGAGGATGTTACAATTTTTTGTTGACAAGATGATGTACGATGTGAAAATGTTACCACACCTAAACTAATGCCTCTGTTTGCGTACAAAATCAATAACGTTTATAGAATATACTTGTGCTGTATTGTATAAGGGAGTTGTACGTTCTAAGATGTTATGAAGGGTTGGGTAACTAATTGGGAATGTTATGGATGAGGTCGTAAATAATACACTGCTCGTGACTGGTGAGATATTAGTCGGAGAGATTGGATCGATCCTGAGCGAAACAATCATTTTCAGATCTCGTTTTATAACCTTTCTTTTAACTTGAAAACTGTGGATATAAAAGAAGGTTCTTGTTCCTTATACATTTTGTATCAATTTATAAATACATTAGTCAACGTCAGTGCTTGAATTGAAATATGTTTTGAGTAATAACTCAACTTTCCTTCATCAATAAAACTGCGAATAATAATTTGTGATTTAATGATAATGAAATTTAGTCGACTTTTTTTGCCTAAATTAGGGTTAATAAAAATTTGTGAATATATAAAAATAAAGCTTTTGTCGAAATAGCACACAACTATATCAAAAAATATGAATGAAATTTAGATATTCAAGTAAAATAAATATATCCATTCACTTATTTTCATATCAAAAAATTGAAAGACTTATACCAATTTGATTAATACAATTAAAGATTTACTTTATATTCAATAAAAAAGCCACTCGGAATGTTCTACTATCCTTCACTAAATTTCGAAGAAATAAAGCGAACGGTCATCGATGAAGCTTCAAATTCAAAAGAATCCAAAGACTTCTGCCTCACGCTCAGATAGCAGAACTACGACTTTTGGATCTCTTCATCGATGACCGTTCGCTTCATTTCTTCGAAATTTAGTGAAGGATAGTAGAACATTCCGAGTGGCTTTTTTTATTAAATCTAAATATAATTTCTTTGTATATTTAATACAGATTTGACAATATTTTTGTTCTTCACCTTTTTTATCTTTAGAAGTTCATTATTTTGAAGATAATTGTTGTAGCAAAAGGAAAGTTGTTTCAAGTGAAGTTCTTTTGGATATATTATCTACTAACAACACTTTCTAATAATAAGTTATTATAAATTAGATGTTCCAAACTAAAAATCAGTGAAATTTGGTCTGACTCCACAGAACATGAAAGGTGGCATATTTTCTTTTATGGCATATTGTATTTACTTTTAAGAGAATTATTTCTCAACGCATAAGGTTTGGATTTGTTTATTATATATCTATGAACAGTTTAGTAAAATGCCAAAGTTTCAAATAAACATATGCGAATTTTCATCAATAGATGTCACCTTTCGCACTCGTTTGTATATTTAGGTTTATACCTACGCTTTTACCGGTCAAGTTTTTCAAATTTTAAATTAAGATCATACTTCACAGGATCATTTCTGTAGTTATCTTCACAACACATATCACAAATGTGACATGTATACAAACCACGATGACG